CATGCTGTATTCTATTGTACAGTTCTAGAAAAGCAGAAATAACTACCAGAAGCAAGGTTAGCTTTTGTTATTGTCTTTCATATAATGGAGGAGACTAGGAGAGGTCAGGAAACGGGGAATAGCATCATAGGTGCTGGAACTAGAGGCGTTGCCACATTCCAGGGTTTGAAGTGGTTTCCATCCTACACAGGGTTGACAGTTTGGTTCAATGGCTCTCAGCACCCCCACTATACAAATTTGTTCCAGCACCACTAACTAGCATACACTTTCATCTATATCATCACGTCACATTTGGCCCAGTTTGGTATATGACCAGAAGTTGCAATCTGATGGCTGTTAGGTGGCTGCTACCTGGAAAAGGTATCTGAGCAATTCCTAATAGATAAATGGTGTCTTCAACATTGAGGAAAAGAAAACCACTATTACAATTGATATCTCTGTTGGGAGGAAAAAGACATCAAAATATTAGATTTATTCACCATTAGATTCAGTGTTTTAAAGAGATGTCAGATTTGGGTCCTATAATATTTAAACTAGGGTTGGCTACCAGGTGTGTGCTTAGATGCTATCCTGTTACAACATAATTACTGTACATTTAAACTAATCTGAATGAGTTTGGACTAAACAGCCATTCATTATTTTGCCCCATAGAGTGTGGTGGTTAATGGATTTATCTCTTTGTTTTCTTTAAATCCCACAGTCTGAATTCTCGGTCTGTTGCTAGAAACCAAGTGGTTCATACTTTTTTTTTCTTCTGGTTTACCACTGTTTGTGTCTCTGGACCCTACTTCTTTGATCCTACTACAGTCACGCCACACTTAAGTTTTCTTCTCTCCAAAGTATTAAATCAGCAGATAATTTTTAAACACAGTTACCTTATTTGCCTAAGAAATTTATTTGTGATACTGTAGTTAAGTTTGGTAAACTCCTGTTTAGGTTTGAAGTATCATTATTACTTGTGTTACCATTAGTGACTAGAAGCCTTAGTCATGGGCCAGGATCTCCAGTGGTTTGTATCCAAATTAAATTCTGGTTAGAGTTCAGTCTGAGGCCAAATCAAGGCCCATCGTGTGTTATTGTGAGATTTCTGCTATCTTTAAGCAAAATCTCTCAAGAATTTAGTTCATGCAGGCAACTCAGACTATGAGATCTTTCTTCTGAAAAAGTAGAACGTTAATCTAGGCCTTGTTCCATTTTCAAAAGTGACTTAGACTTTTGGAGCCTCACAGAAGTTTCACTGAGATTTTCAGAAGTCTCACTGAGACTTAGGTGCCCAGTGCCTAAGTCATTTTTGAAAATAGGCCTTAGGTTCCTAAGTCATTTAAGTGCTTTTGAAAATATCCCTTGTCTACTACCTTAACCAAAGACCATCCCTCCTCCTTACTTAGCCTGCTAGTGATTTACAGTCTTTAAATAGCTTTTTGGATTTATTTTTTAAAACATTTTTCCTCTTGGATTTTATTCTGTGGTTTCAATGTTTATATCCTGACCCTGCTCTGCTCTCTGTATTTGTACTGGACACATCTGTTGGTTGGGCAACTGTATACAGCAAAATAGCAACATTTATTTTAAAAAGGGAGTCTACAGCAGTTACAAACAGCTGCTGCAGGCAAAGTGTGAGAGCTTCGACCCAAGAGCCATGCTGTTGTAAGAGCTGCATGAACGGGCCAAAGTTGTGACTTGTAGCATTGTGGTCTGGCCCTGAAAAAAAAAGAGCCATGTTTTGGGAAAGTGATGTGGTTGGTCTCAGATCATCAGCTTACCTGCTAGGAGCTGTCTTATTGCTTTGAAATGTGGGTAATTTAAGACCAGTGAGAGGCATTCTGAAAATCCAGGTGAAGATATGACAGCCCACGAGAGAGAGAGAGAGAGAGCGAGAACAGCATCTGAGTTAGGCCAGATCCTAGAGATGAATGTACATGTCTCCAGGGAAACCACTTTCTTATCCCCGTGACCTCTTGTGCTAACAATACTTAGCCTGCTCACTTATATCTCTTTGCCTGCATATCTAAAAGTTAGACACAATCTCAGTTTGCTAATATTGTCATTGTCTCTAATTCCTCAAGTATCTTTACTTAGAGACTAGGTAGATAATATGACTGATTAACAGGAAGTGCCCAGGGACACTGACTGACTGACTGACTGACTAATCCCTCAGACTAAATAAAATGGTTTTAAAGCACCTAGTCATTAAATGAACTCCCCAGTAATGGCACTGTGCTGCCTGGAGCAGTGCAGAAGTTAAACAAAACACTACTAAGCGTGCGGTTTGCACAGGAGAAGGCTGGGTTATTGCCTAAAGTGCCAGTTTTCTTTTTTCAGACATTCCCAACTTAAGTCCGTGATATCAGCGAGTGAGGGAGACGTTCTCTTTCTCTCTCTTCCTGCAGTTTTGAACAGTTTGGTTTCTTAAGAGATCTTAATTGCTTCCATCTGGAAATGCAGAATGGTTCTTGACCCTGGGATGAACTTAATTCATTTCCTTCTGATTTACTCATTAACTGTCTTGAACCATGAACAATCTCAAGGCTCTTAACGTTGTTCTCTAAGCCGCCAGGATTCAGACAGTGTCTTTCCTTCTCTTACAATTGTAGTTCAGGGTAGAAAAAAATCCGCTTTTAAGCCCTGAGACTTATTTAGCACATGCTGTCTGTACAAGTATCTTCCAGGAGCACCCAATACAATTGGTTGTCAAAAAAATAAGATAAAGGGGACTTTATTTAAACTGGAATAAACAGAACTGGATTCCACCTACCTCTGACAACATTAAATAGAAGAATAGGTATAAATAAAAAATTATAACTGTATATATACACACACATACACACACACATAATTTACTACTAAGCATACTTAACTAAATATAACCCTCTAAATAAAGAATTATGTATATATCTATGTGTGCATAGACTATTATAGGTTGTTGTTATTATTTATTTTATTTAATTCAAGGTTTCCCTTTCCCCAGATCCCTCACTGGGTGCTAATGCCCAAGTCAGTCTTTGAGCTCAAGCACCTCTCGTGACATCCTGAAGAGATAGACCTGACTCCAGCGGTGCTTGCTTGTGGGGGTGCACATTAGACCAGACCCACTGGATGTAAAGGACCTTTGGTTCTCCTGTTCCAGATCTCTGGGACCACCTGAATCAAGGATAGGAGACGACCAGTCAGGAGCACACCATCAAACATGGACTGACCAGCCAACTTTAAAGGGACTTTCTTCTCCATGTCTGTCTATCCTGCTCAACCTTATTGTCTCTGCTTACTCTTGGTTTCTCTCAAGTCCCAGTTTCCCTCCGTCTCTCTGGCTATCCTCTCCCCTCCTCTTGTTTCTCTCTCTCTCTCTCTCTGCGGCTCCCCACTGCCTGCTTCTGTCGTCACTTCTCCTCCCTCTGAGGGGAGGGACTACCTCCTCTGCATAGAAAAATGACAATGCATTCACCCTGAACACACCCTAAGTCATATTTCCCCATACAGGGTCGAGTCCCTTTACCACATTTACATACAGATAAGGGCAAGGGAGGATGTTGGTGCTAAGATGATTTTTGTTTTGGCCAACAATTTTTCTCTAGAGCTGATTCAAAAATGGAGGGTTTTCCATAGAAAAAGTTGATTTTTTTCATCAGAAATTTGAAAGTCGAAAAATTTTAATTTTTTGACCAAAAAAAAAAAGTTTTCCAGAGAAAGCAGAGATTTGTGAAAAATTTCATTTAGTTGTGAATCCAATTTTCCATGGAAAAAACAGTTGTGAAGGAAAATGTTTGACCAGCCCTGTTTCTCACTGTTGCTGCCAATGGCGGATGCACTAAGAGAAACAGGGCTCCAGGTAGAGCCAACACAGTGCTTAAAACCCCACTGATAGCCAATTCCACGCCTACGCTAGCACTCGCATTGCGGAGGATTCTCTGGCAAGAAGCCTAACGTAGACAGGGCTGTTGTTGATGTACTATTGTGACTCAATGTTTGCTGTTTAGCCATGTCTCCATACACTGGCTCCTCCATAGTTGTGAAGATGATTCTGGGAGGGACTAGCTGTGATAATCCATGACCACCTTCAGGGCTTAAAATGGCTGCAGAGAAGTGTGGGGTCTGCATTCCTCGGCAGTGCCATGCCTTTAGCTCACAAGGAAATGTTTGGACCCAGACATCACGTATCTGTGTTTATAGCACCGGTTTCCCAGTGAACATCTATCTCAGACCCACCTCGGAGGTCTGTTTTATTTTTTGGCCCTGTCCACTTCAAGACATACTTCTCGCTCCCTGCTTGTCTCTCCCAACTGCTCCCTATCCTCTTCTGTTTTATGCCTTCTCCTTCCTTTCTAACTTATCCCACAGACCACATTTCTGTATGCAACTTGTTGATCCCTAATTTCCAGGGGCTCCCAGCCAGCTGGGGACATCAGATCAGTTTAACATGCCCGTCCCTAAAAAAAAAAAAAGTTTGTGCAGTTGCTTTCAGTAATGTTTCTGTGTCATCTGAAAATGAACTGAGTAGTGTGGCAGAAAGATATTTAGAGTTATTAATAAGGACAATAAGAATTTTAATTATTGGGTGGAGATGCTTGTAAAATCTCTCTGCACTTTCTAAATAGAAAGGGAAAAGAGAGTCTGTCTGATTTTCCCAGGCTGGAAACTAGGGCCAGTCATGAGGACAGGAAACCTAGAGATATCAAAGTTGCATCAAAACCAGGCCACTGTGCACGGTGATCAATAAGATCAAAGGCTTCATGCAACCCATCAAGAAAACATTTCTCTGACTTAGTAGAAGGGATTTTCTTCCACTACCAAGCCTGAAACTCTAATTATACCGTCTTCTACCCCCACAGAATTTGAGTTCCTCCTATCCTGTCCCTCTGACATGCTTTTGGGTTCTTTTCTCTCCTCCTCTGCCCATTCTGCCTGTCTCTGAGTCCGAAAATTGTGAAGTATAATAATCCCTGGGAACGTTCTGTGTACCAGACTGGATCAGATTCTAGGCCTTGCGCCACCTCCCTCCTCCGCACTTTCACTTTCCCCAGCCACAGCTCTCTCTTCCCTCCCCCACCTATATTTTTGGAGGATGCAGCCTAAAGGAAAAGTGAAAGTGACCAGCCTTTGTTTTGATTGCGGAGAAAAACAGCCCAGTTGGGGTTCACAGCCTGTGGTCCACACCTCGGGAACACAAGCGACTAGACTCGGCTCTGAATGGGACAGTGCTAAGAAATGGGATCCTAAACACATCTGGAACTAGCAGTGGATCTGTGGGTGCAGCCTGGACCAGACTAAGCATCTGCCTCTCTGCCTGCTCTGTCCCACCCCCACCCGTTGGCCACAGGGCTCCCTAAAGATTATGCTGAAAGGAGGAGATGCGTGTGCAGGTGAAGTGTTTCTTTAACTTGATTCCAACTGGGGGCAGCCCTGAGGAGATCTCATGCACCTGAGACTCAGCTCAGAGTTTGTATCCTCCATCGATCCTACAGGGGAACTGTGGCAAGGAAGAAGAGGGTGCTGAGGGAAAGGAGGGGGTAGGAGGGAAGGCTGAGGGGGCAGAGGGAAAGGGTGGAACTGGGTGGGAAGGGTGAGAGAGAAAGGACAGAGGAGTTGGAGAGGGGGCAGAGGGAAGGGATGGGGTGGGAAGGGAACCTGGGGGGGGGCAAAAGAAAGGGAGGCATGGGAGGGGGACCAAAGGGGCACCAAAGAGGGCAGAGGGAAGGGACATTGGGAGGGGATGCCGAGGGAAGGGAAGGGAAGGGACAGAGGGAAAGGAGAGGAGGAAGGGAGAGCATATGAGAGGGGCCAAAGGGGCAGAGGGATGGGAGGGGAGGCCGAGGGAGCAGAGGGAAAGGATGGGTAGGAAAGGAAGCTGAGGGGACAGAGGAAAGGGAGGGTATGAGGGTGGCCAAAGGGGCAGAGGGAAAGGAGAGGGGTGGCGTGAGGCTGAGGGAGCAGAGGGAAAGGATGGGTAGGAAGGGAAGCTGAGGGGCAGAGGAAAGGGAGGGTATGAGGGTGGCCAAAGGGGCAGAGG